CCCCCCCCCCCCCCCCCCCTCTGTTCCTTTGGCATTCTCACCCTACTTCTTCCTCTGTTCACACCATCATTAAACAATGAGTGAATACACACAGCAAGCCAGCCGGTCAACCAGCCAGCCAGCCAGCCAGACAGACAGAGAGACAGAGATGTTTATCTGACAAAGCCAATCGCAAGGTGTTACGTCACTATATGTCCTGAAGACCAGACTCACAATAGTTTCGTAATACTCTTACTAAACTAAATAAACATCGCAATGAGTGGTTTGAGAAAAGACCAGAGCAGTCACATAACCTGCCGACTTTTTCCCTCCACAGGTTCCAAGACCACCCCACACCCGACCTTTCTTGTCTCCGTCATTGGTGAGTTCTTGCAGAATCTGCCCCTCACTCAGTCTCCTTAAACCTAACCCTAGTAAAGTCTGTCCTTCATAGAGTCTTTCCTTCATGGAGTCTGTCCGTCACAGTCTTTCACAAAGTCTGTTTCTCATATGGGCATCATAAAGTGTGCCCTTCTACCCTAACCTTAAATTGTGATTTCCTCTTATCCCTTCATCTCAGCTCTCTCACCTTCACACTAGCCAGCTCATTTCAAACTTTAAAAAAACTTCATCTCATTCTTATCTCAACCTCCTATCAAACTCCTATGTTACCCCCATTCACTATTAAATCAACCTGAGGGGGAGGGGGGGGGGCTCTCGTGGTCTACCGGTATGGTGTTTACCTCTCATTCAAAAAGCCCCAGGATCAAAACCTGACAGCGACGAAAAAATAATTATGCTCCAAAATGTTCTTCTTCCACCATCTTTCATGTAGACCTGTTCTGTCATGTGCTTTTACGTCCACTTTCTCCCCCCGACCCTGGCTTCCTCTGAGCTCCTCTTTCCTTCACTCCTAATTGTTTTTATTGCTACTCCTGGCTCCTTGTTACTACTGACTTTCAGCCACGCCCCTGATTTTTAGGGTAGGTAAGATCAAACACCTAGCCTTCTCGCCTCGGTACTGGTCCTAAAATCGATACTAGTAGTAGGCTTTTGCCGCCATCCGAGAAAAGTTCAAAATTAATTCTTACCAAAATTGGAAATACTCTGTTCCGTATTACAAATATGGAGTATGTTCGAAATCGTAAAGTTCTGCCTGGAGGCTAAAGGCCTTAAGAAGTAACAAAAACGGTCACATACATAAAAATCAGTTGCACTGCGAGTTAAAGAACCAACAGCCCTAGATCTTTAAGATCATGCAGGAATATAAAGAAGAAGAAGAAGAAGAAGAAGAATATCTTCGCCATACCCTCACTTCACCTCCGTTCATACAGCCACACAGCAAGGAGGTTATAAATACCCCCGGCCACATGACCCCTTCAACAACTATTTCCGCATAGCCACAGCCCAACAAACCTTATCCTGTATTATATTGTTATTCCCAGCCGATAACCCTGTCTCTACTTACTAAGTTTTGTCCTCAGTGCTAACTCTGATCTTGAGCTGAGGAAAGGGACGAGCGTCGTCATGTAATGGAGCTCTCTCATTCGGTCGTTCTCATTCAAGGACTATCTGCGTGTGTTACCAGATCTCCAGAGAAGTTGCCGTGTTAAAGAAGTGCTAATGTTTGCAGATTGTTCACATTGTTTCATATATCTACTGATGTAATTAACATATTGCATTGTACTTTTAGCCTGCGTGTGATTTACACTTTCTTTATTTTTATTCGTCTGTGTCTACTGATATTCACATTTCCAGAGATGTGTACATTTCATGTGTTATTTTTTTGTTGTTGAAGTGTTTGGATATACCTGTTATAAAACGTTATCCGTACATTTTCAGATATGTTACCTAAAATATATCATTATTTGTATATTTTCCGAAATTTTATCTTCATAAGACATTATTCATTTATTTCCAGAGAGCTTCCCTTTTATTGGCCATTGTTCATATATTCTACTCATAGGCATTTTCCGCTTCTCTCTCTCTCTCTCTCTCTCTCTCTCTCTCTCTCTCTCTCTCTCTCTCTCTCTCTCTCTCTCTCTCTCTCTTTATTTTCAGAGATGTTGTTGAAATTATACCTTTAAAACGTTTTTGTACAACTGAAAGATAAAACCTTCACTGCTTTTTTGTGAATGTTAAAAATGTTTGGATACCCTTCGCATCAGAAAAGCTTTCATTTCCTTCATTGTATTTCTTCATTTCTTGTCAGGGCAGATTTTGCTTCCTTACAACTTTGCTGCTATCCCTTTTAATATTCCTGTCAATTTTTGTTACTCTGCCATATTTTATTATACAAGTGGTAACCTACACACTTCAGAATATTCACATTCTATTGTTCTCCCTCTCGCATATTTTTTGCACCCATTACTCAATACACTAATTTTAATGTTTTTGAACAAAGCTGTTAACCGCTGGGTTTGTCATACAAAAGATTCCTAAATATATACCAACTTACCCACAGACTGATCGACCAGTCTACTTACCCATATATAATTATGTATGACCCCTACTATTGAGAGATGAAAACACACATGCGCATTTATAATCACACACACGCACACACTCACAAACACACACACACACACACACACACATACACGCACGCACACACACACACACACACACACACACACACACACACACACACACACAGTGCCCAGTCATGTATACATACTGTACGAGGATGAGTGCACCATAATGTGTGCAGATCATTGCTGGCCCTGTTTCTCCCACACACGCCCTTTGCTTGCTATAATTTGATTAAAAGTGCTTCGGAATTAACACTGCTTTCGTCTCCAGTGACTTACAAAACTCTATCCTGTCTATTGGTAATGGTAGAATCTATCTAACAGTCGTCTAATGAGTTTAATTACACTTTTCCGCATGCATTATTACTATAGGCGTAGGCCGTCTTGTGCTGATCTCAAGCTAATTGATACTGTCGGCAATTTCAGGAGGGCAAAGTTATTGGAAGGTTATGGTGCTGAGAGAGAGAGAGAGAGAGAGAGAGAGAGAGAGAGAGAGAGAGAGAGAGAGAGAGAGAGAGAGAGAGAGAGAGAAAGAGAGAAAGAGAGAGCAAGAGAGAGAGAAAGGAAAAAGTAAGAAGAGAGAGAGAGAGAGAGAGAGAGAGAGAGAGAGAGATCGAGAGAGAGAGAGATCGAGAGAGAGAGAGAAAGAGAGAGAGAGAGAGAGAGAGAGTGAGAAGACTGCGTTATGTCTTTGGACTCCCTCTCTCTCTCACACACTCTCTCTCTCTCTCGCTCACACACACACACACACACACACACACACACACACACACACACACACACACACACACACACACACACACACTCACTCATTCGTGCAAACATCAAGGACTCAGCGAGAGAAGTCCAGCTCAGTCAATTCATCAAAGTCGTGATTATACGAATCACGGAATCAGCCAACACAGGAACAACGACAATAGTGATAACGATGGTTTTTATGTTACAACAGCTGCTGCTACCGCTGATGCTGTTATTGTTATTGTTGTTGTTGTTTTTGGTATTGTTGTTGCTGCAACTGCTCCTGTTGCTATTGTTGTTGCTGTTGCAGCTATTCACGCTGCTGTTCTTATTGCTGTTGTAACTGCCAGTACTGCTGTTTTGTTGTAGCAGCTGCCCTTGCCGTTGTTGTTGTTGCTGTTGGTGTTGTTGCTGCTGCTGCATCTATTTGTAATTCTGTAGGGGATGACAATGATTATGACGAGAATAATGCTGGAGCCTTAGCTGTTGTACAAGCGACAAGTTGACTCATAGTGATAATGCTATTAATGATAATGATAATGATTACATTGTTGAAGAAGTTGCAGCCGTTGCTATTGTTGCTGCCAGTGGTGGTGGTGGTGGTGGTACTGCTGCTGATGATGATGATGCTGCTGCTGATGAAGATGCTGATGCTGATGATGATGATGATGATGATGATGATGATGATGATGATGATGATGATGTGCCGGCGTAGTTATGAAATTTTGAAATTCCACAATTTTTTGGGGCCTTTTTAATCTTCGGACTGTCAGTGATGATGATGATGATGATGATGATGATGATGATGATGATGATGATGATGATGATGATGATGATGATGATGATGATGATGATGATGATGATGATGTACAGAGCAAACGTTGCTGTTGTAGCTGTATTCGGAGACGTCCTTTGTCTTTGCACTGATAGTAGTTTACCAATGCCTCTGCCAGTGACAACAGATCGGTCTTTCAGATAACCAGACACAATGTTTCCGTTGTAGACTCGTGGCAGTTTATCTAAACTGTTCACACCGGATGTCACCTGTTTAGTTTCGAAAACATAACACACGTATTCCAAGGGATAAAAGTAAGTAACTAACCTCCCAAAAAAGTTTTTTTTAAAACAACAACACCACCAACAAAAACAATAGCAACAACAGAAATCCCAAAATACAAAACAAAACAAAAAAGTTAAAGTCAACGATACAATCTAGTTGCCGGAGACTGTGATACAATAAAGGTACATGGATAATCCACACATTCACACTCGCGGAAATTGCTTCCAGACACACTTCCACCCTCATTCGACGAATGTGCACACATACATACTAATTAATTAAAAGCTTCACTTCCATACGCTCCAATCAGCGAGGTTAATCTTCGATGTCATTCTGTGAGAAACTTTCAATACGGTAAGCATTCTGTCCTTAACCTTGATGTGTGTGACGTTGTCTTCATATTATTTTGACTGTGGCCGTGTCTAGACTGCGACGTTACCCTGTTCAAGTCCTTGTTCTGACCCTGACCTTGTTCTAAAATGAGTCCTCTTTTCCGAAGATGACCTTATGTTCATGACTTTGTCCTTTCTTGAACTAGCTCGCATCGTGATTTTTCTTTTTTAGTAATCTTCTCCTGTCCCTGACGTTTGATTCTAATTCACCCTTACTTAGCTATGCCTGTTACCTTCCTGGGACTTTGACGATTTCCCATTCCATGACGTTGTCTTTCCGTTGTATGTGTTCTCTCTGTGACCTTGCCCTTTCTGTATCCTTGCTGCAGTCATGACCTTACTCTACTTGTGATTTGTCCTTTCTCTGACCGTTCCCTGTTCTCGAGCTTGTTCTAACAATGACTTTGTTTTAGCCTTGAAGTTTGTTTATCAAACCATTTTACTGAGAGTCCTCCTATCCCCACCTCAATTTCTATTGCAGAGCCAGAGAGTTCCTTGGTACTCACCCCCAGCCCATCCCTCCAGACGGGTAAGATCAACTGCTCATCTCATTACTTGCCCTTTTGATCTTTTGTCTGGGAAGGGCGTGGCGGTCGTTTAGTTGGAAACTTGGATGTCTTTTCTTTTTTAGTGCATTATCTATAGCCGCTTTCATGTTTTTGTCGTTGAAGACGACTAGCTTCATTTTGCCCCACATTTTGATGATGAGACGTGTTGGGTGACCAGCATGATTTACGAAGTGATTTTATGTTGTGTGGTTTCTCATTCTTGTGTCATCAGCTAAGCAAATGGTATTGAATATGCACACTCACGTGTGCGCACGTACACACACATACCTAGCTGTTGTTGTTGTTGTTGTTGTTGTTGTTGTTGTTGTTGTTGTTGTTGTTGTTGTTGTTGTTCCTGTAGTGCTGCTGCTGCATTTATTTGTATTTCTGAGGAGGATGACAATGATTATGATGATAATAATGTTGCTGTTGTACAAGCGACAGGTCGCCTCATAGTGATGATGGTATTAATGAAAAAGATAACATTGTTGAAGCAGTTGCTGCTTTTGCTATTGTTGCTGCCGGTAGGGATGGTGGTGGTGGTGGTGGTGTTGCTGTTGCTAATGATGAGGGTGCTCATGATGATGATGTTTTCGGGATCATCAATTTTGAAAGTCTACAGTCTCCAACAGTTGTTTTCTTGTGCCTTTTTAAAAATCTTCAGGCTGTCAGTGATGATGATGATGATGATGATGATGATGATGATGATGATGATGATGATGATGATGATGATGATGATGATGATGATGATGATGATGATGTTTTACAGAGCAAGCTGTTGCTGTCGTGGATGTATTATGAGTCATCCTTTATCTTTGAACTGATACTGATAGTTCACCAATGCCCCTGCCAGTGACAACAGATCAGTCTTTCAATATAGATAACCAGACATAATGCTACCTTTGTAGACTTCGTGGCAGTTTATCCGCTCTGTTCATTGTGGATGTCACCTGTTTAGTTTCGAAAACGTACCCACATATTCCAAGGGATAAAAGTAGGTAAATAACAAAACAACCCCCCCCAATAAAAACAGCGCTCATATGACCTTAGCAGTTGCGAGCGCCGTAAAACCTTATACTATACTAATACTAATAAAAACAACACAACAACAACAACAAAACAAAAAAACAACAACAATAAAACAAAACAAAACAAAACAAAACAAACCCAAAAAAAACCCAAACCCCCAAAGAAGTTAAGTAGATAGTTTGACCTGCCTTTTCAGCTGACTGTGACAAAAAAGCCACGTGAAGAGCAGAAACGACAATAACAATAGCAACAATAATGATGATAACAACATGTCATCACAACTGATATCTCAGTCTCATGAACCAAAAAATAAGAAAAAAGAATTAAAACAACATCACCACCAGCAGAAGCCGAAGCAGGAATACACAATAGCAATAACAACAAAAACAACAATGACCCCATAAACAACGACAAAAAAACAAAAACATCAACAACAACAACATAGCCACCACTAACCACGATAAACAAACCTATATCATCTGATCTCTATCTCACCTGGACAAGTTTGCTGAGTCGCGTCAAGTTAGGGTGGACGCTGATCTCATAGGCCAGGGTACCCACACACGTGACCCCGTCCCCTCCCGTCTGATCAGGGCACGTACAGTTTCGTTCTCCCGGACCCAAGGTGGTGCAGTTTGCCTTCAGGGAAGGAAGACAATTGGAAAGAAAGTGAAGGTGCATGATAAATATACTCCCGACCTCTCTGTCTCTGTCTTCTCTGTCTGTGTTCTCTGTCTGTCTGTCTGTCTGTCTGTCTGTCTGTCTGTCTGTCTGTCTGTCTGTCTGTCTGTCTGTCTGTCTCTGCCTCCATCTCTGGTTCTTTGTATATCTTTCTCTCACTATGTGTGCGTGCGTGTACTTGAGTGTGCGCGGGCGTGTTGTGGGTCTGAAGATAGATTGATCTGGGTTAATTTGTTCTCTCTCTTTCTTACTTTCTTTCGTCTTTTCTTTCTCTCCCTTTCTCTCTCTTTCTCTCTCTCTCTCTTTCACTCTTACACACACACACACAACACACACGCACACA